CCATGCAATTTTACCAATGAAGATATCAAACATCACAGAAGGAAATCCATTTGTCCTGTGTTGCAGAGGCGTTTCATCCAGCCCACCAAGAATATCAAAGGATTTTGATGTCTTTTGAGCCTTATATATTTGAGCAGTGTTGTAAAAGTTAATACTTTATGAGAAAAAAATTGTACAACTTATCAATATATTATTGAATTTGAAATGTGAATCTGAATTATGAGCAATTTTAATATTTAAAGAAATCTTGACAAAAAATCCATCCCAATCACATAGACCAAAACAGTAACCTGCTATTTTTATTTACTCTTTTAAAATTTTATCGTAAAGGTGATATTCAAAAGAGTTACAGTTATGTGAGTCAGATAATGAGTATATTTCCTTTGAACAGTTTCATCCCTTCTCCATTCTCCCAGCTTTTCCCCTCCTAACATCCCTCCCCACAAAGTTGCTCAATTCATTTCGAACATAGTGTTTAGTGACCTGTTACTTTTAATATTTACTTTCTGACAAGCTTTTTTATATGCTTTTGCATACTTTCACATATGTTTGTATATTTCACCAATGGTTCATATATAATGATATTGTGGATTTATTGAGTGATTTAAAATTCTATCTTTTCTTTAGCTTTATTATATTTCCTTAGCTTTATTGATACATAAATACTTACATCACAGAAAAGAAAAGAAACCTTGTCTCATTAACATTCCAGAAATCTAGTAAGAGATAGGCATCTTGGGATGGACCAAATGAGGAAAAGGATGGACATATAAAACTAGACAATGTAAATTATTATCTACATATTACAGACAGGTAATTTGCATAAATTGTAACAACTCAACCTTACAAGTGGCACAGTATTATTTTTCCTATTGACAAACAAGAAAATTGAATCTCAAAATGTCTAATGATTTTGGAAATTGGCAAAACTATCACATATTGGGTTGATGGCCATGCTTCCAGGCTAAAATGTCATGCTTATACACTAAACTATTTTACTGGACCTAATATAAAGTAATTAAAAGGAACAGGAGAGAAATTTTCTTTGAAATTAAATGAAGGAAGCATTTAATTACCATATCCCAAATGTGGAAGAGATTCTTTAGACCTCATAGCTTCTGTGCAGCAAATGTTTCCTTTCCATTCCTGACATTACTAGGCCAAGTATGGCTTCCTTTGTAGTTAAGACCAGATGATGCTCAAATGACTTTGGCCACTGTTCATATTCTGCTATTTTCCCATTTCTTTTAGTGAATTTTTTTATTTTTCATATGGGGAACAGTCCTATTCTATGCACTTGAAGATGACACAGATTCACCTTCCCTTGGGAATTCAGAGTTCACCAATAGAATATTGTTGATGGATATACAACCAGTTTACAACCCTCACTTTATGTTTACTAATTGTGCCTGAGTCCAGAAAATCTGTTTTCTTCTGGTAAGACTGAAATCTTAATACATGTGAGTAAAATGTCTAACAAAGCCACAGAAAAAGCAAATCATGTTTAAAAGTAGTATGCTCTAAAATGATGTAATATTTAGGGGAATATTTGTTGGGTCTTCATCCGTCTTTGGATGGACAGGGTCCGAGGAGAGGTAAGTGTGAAGTGCTGTGCTTGCCCATTCCCCAGCCTCCCTTAGCCAAGGAGACAATCGAACACAGCGGGGAGTCAAACCAAGCAGGAACTCGTTTATTAACAGGGAGCATTCCTTTTTTAAAGTAAAAGACTGCGTGGGAGGGGAAGAAATGGAACCAACCAATCACTGAAAGGCCACACCTTATCATGCACCTAAGCTTCCATGAGGTGTTTACACACTGAACCTAAACAAATCCGGCTCTGCCCACTCAACTTCCTCTCAGGGCCATCTTTGCAGCCCCTGTGGAGCACATGGGCAGCAAAGATGGTTCTGAGAGGGAGTTGAGTGGGCAGAGCCCTATTTGCATTATGTTCAGTGCTCAGTGGGTAATCAGCCTGTGGAAGCTTAGGTGCATGATAGGGTGTGACCTTTATAGTGATTGGTTCCTTTTCCTCCCCTCCCATGCCACCCAGTCTTTTTTGCTTTAAAAAGTGCTTGCTGTGTGTTAATAAAGGAGTTCCTGCTTGGGACTTGACTCCCCGCTGTGTCTGATTGTCTCCTGGGCTAAGGAAGGCATCTGATTGTCTCCCGGGTTAAGGGAGACTGAGGAACCAGTGAGTGGTGCACTTACCTTTCCACCAACCCCATCCATCTTCTTGGGATGGACGAAGATCTGACAAACCCCTCTATACAGTATTTTCACAATAAAAAATTTATGAATGTGTTATTTTAAATCATTTTTTTTACTAAAGAAAGATTGATTTATCTCTTTTTTCTTTAAATGCTTATATGATTTGTGACAAAAACATTTTGAATTTTGCTTTTCACATTGCTTGTTTTTTCACTTTTTCCTGTTTTACCTCTTCCCATGTTCTTTATTACACTAGCATTCACCAATAGCCATTTTCTATAGTCGTTATTTAAAGCTGAAATTAGCTCTGGAATATCTTCACTGAATATATGGGATACTTAAATATTATGTAAATTACTTTTCTATAAGTTTTAAATTGTTCAAACAAAAGAATATCTTATAGTTATTGAAATTTCAAGAACTCTTTAGCTTTAACAAATTAAATTAGAGAAAAATGGCTACACAGAAAGGACATCTACTGTTTAAATCAATGTGATGCACTTGGTGCAAAAGTTAAAAAAGAAAATACACATTTGGTAAATATTTAATAGAAGCAAAGGGTCATGTAAATTGCTGAAGGTAAGAATGATTTTTTATGAATATTTATTCTGTAGATAATGTAGAACCATAGAACTTGTCAAGGAAGGAATCACACAGCTGAATATGTTATTTAGAAATAAACTTGGAGCAAGGTCATGGCACAGGATGAAAATGTGAAGAAATGGAATGGGGGAAACAGGAGCTCAGCTATGATATGTGATGACCAAAATCTCAATTGGATTAAATGACCATTTTTATTTGTATTTTTCAAAGTGAAAACTTGATTCATACACAACAAAGCTCTAGAATGGGCTATAAATCTACAAGAAAAAGAAATATATATATATATATATATATGTGAATATATACTGGGACCTGATAAATTATACAGGTCTCTAGGCATTCACACAGTGAGACCAAAGGAGGATATTCTTGGTAGAGGATTATAAAGGTGCAATAGCTATGTGCATATATAAAGTAATACTTATTGAATGAACTCTAAGAAATGGAAATGAGTTTTTTTTCCCTTTATTGTTGTTTGTGTTTCCTTTTCCTTTTGTTTATTCATCTGTCTTTGGGAAGGTAGTGGGGGGACACAGTTATGAAGGGACAAAGTGAAAATGAACTATACAACTTGTGAGTGGGACTGGGAGGGAAAAACAGAGAGAACAAAGGAAGGGGTGACATTGTCCAAAAAGAGATGTAGTCTTTATCTGACTTACATAACTGTAACCCCTCTGTATATCACATTTTAAATAACAATGAATAAATTTAAACATAAGAGCAGTGCTGTAAAACATCATATAGAATGTTTTCTATTTTTAACCATCTTTTTTCCAGTGGAATAAAAGCATTTTAGTTTGACAATATAAGAAGGATAATGAAAACTTCAAACTGATACTTCTAGAAGGAATGTACATTTCAAGCATTTGTATGAAATGTTATGAGTTTGAGTTTATGAAATGTATGAGTTAATTCAGGATTACATAATCCTGCCTGCTTTTACTTACATCTAAAGCAAGAACCTGACCAACACTACAAAACCTACATTCTATAAATATCCAAAATAGAAATTGAACCAAATTTGCCTTAATCCAGACCTTTTCAAGGTATTAATTGAAAAATTAGGGGCTGGGAAGGTGGCTCAGTGGTAGAGCGCCTGCCTTGCATGCATGAGGCCCTGGGTTCGATTCCTCAGCACCACATAAGCAAAATGAAAAAAGCCGGAAGTGGTGCTATGGCTCAAGTGGTAGAGTGCTACCCTTGAGCTGAGGAGCTGAGGGACAGCGCCTAGGCCCAGAGTTCAGACCCCACGACCGGACCCAAAAAAAAAAAAGAAAAGAAAAATTAACAGCAATACACTTATGTGTATAGGCATAGTCAAAGGTATATTTTAAATATACAAATTGGATTAAAAAAAGAAATAGAAGCAGGCATGGTATACATAGTTGCAAGTCCAGTACTCAAGAAGCTGAGGTAGGCTGGGAAGGGAGGTGAAGGGTAAACAAAGGAGGAGGCTGCAATGCTTGGTAAGAAATGTATGCATTATCCTGCCCATGTAATTGTAACCCCTCTGTACAGTATGTTCTCAAATAAAATTAAATTAAATTAAAAAAAAAAAAGAAGCTGAGGTAGCATAATATCAAGTTTGAGGACTGCCTGAGATACTTTTTGAGACCTTGTATGCAAAAAGAAAGAAAGAGAGGAAGAAAGAAAGAAAGAAAGAAAGAAAGAAAGAAAGAAAGAAAGAAAGAAAGAAAGAAAGAAGAAAGAAAGAAAGAAAAAAGAAAGAAAGAAAGAAAGAAAGAAAGAAAGAAAGAAAGAAAGAAAGAAAGAAAGAAAATACAAGAAAGAAAAAAAAATACAAGAAATCCAAAACTAATTTACCTCATTTAAATTGCCAGCTCTATGTACTAAATCTAGCCTAGAGGGATCACATGTGTGAGAATCAGAGCTTTACTCCCATGTATGAAAATTGGCAACAATTGGAATGTCTGTCAATACAAGCTATTTAAATAATTTATGGTATATTCACAGTGGACAATTGTGCAGCTGTAAAAACAAATGTATATGATTGTATGGAAAAAAATCTTCAAAATGTGTTTGAAATTAATTTCAAGTGAACAAACTAACTGAAGCATAATGAACTTAACACCCTATTATTTTGGAAATAGGGGATGAATGTGTGTACATGCATCAAGGTAGAGAGGGAGGAAATATATCTCTTTTAAAAATGAAAAAACCGGGAGCAGCCATGATGGAAGGCCTGGACGACGGCCCCGACTTCCTCTCAGAGGAAGACCGCGAACTTAAAGCAATAAGTGTAGATCTTCAAAGTGATGCTGCTCTACAGGTGGACATTTCTGATGCTCTTAGTGAAAGAGATAAAGTAAAACTCACTGTACATACAAAGAGTTCATTGCCAAATTTTAAGCAAAATGAGTTTTCTGTTGTCCGACAACATGAAGAATTTATCTGGCTTCATGATTCCTTCGTTGAAAATGAAGACTATGCAGGTTACATTATCCCACCGGCACCACCAAGACCTGATTTTGATGCTTCAAGGGAAAAACTACAGAAGCTTGGAGAAGGAGAAGGGTCGATGACGAAGGAGGAATTCACAAAGATGAAACAGGAATTGGAAGCTGAATATTTGGCAATATTCAAGAAGACAGTTGCAATGCATGAAGTGTTCCTATGTTGTGTGGCAGCACATCCTATTTTGCGAAAAGATTTAAATTTCCATGTCTTCTTGGAATATAATCAAGATCTGAGTGTGCGAGAAAAGAACAAAAAAGAAAAACTTGAGGATTTCTTTAAAAACATGGTTAAATCAGCAGATGGAGTAATTGTCTCAGGTGTAAAGGATGTAGATGATTTCTTTAAGCATGAACAAACATTTCTTTTAGAATATCATAATTGTGTTAAGGATGCATCTGCTAAATCTGATAGGATGACAAGATCTCACAAAAGTGCTGCAGATGATTACAATAGAATTGGTTCTTCACTCTATGCTTTAGGAACTCAGGATTCTACAGATATATGCAAGTTTTTTTCTCAAAGTTTCAGAACTGTTTGATAAAACAAGAAAAATAGAAGCACGAGTATCTGCTGATGAGTATCTCAAACTTTCTGATCTCTTAAAATGTTACTTAAGAGAATCTCAAGCAGCTAAGGACCTCCTCTATAGATGGTCTAGGTCTTTAGTGGATTATGAAAATGCTAATAAAGCACTGGATAAGGCAAGAGCCAAGAATAAAGACGTTCTGCAGGCTGAAACTTCTCAACAATTATGTTGTCAGAAGTTTGAAAAAATATCTGAATCTGCAAAACAAGAACTTATAGATTTTAAGACAAGAAGAGTTGCAGCATTCAGAAAAAATTTAGTGGAACTTGCAGAATTAGAACTGAAGCATGCAAAGGGTAACCTCCAGTTGCTACAGAATTGCCTGGCAGTGTTAAATGGAGATACATAAGCCATATTCCACCTTCCCATTAAAAAGGGCTGCCTTCCTTCAGATCTTACTTTTGTTCTGAATGACATAAAGCATTTATGCTCACTGGAAACAACAGCAATGAACAAGTTGACACAGTATATCTACTCTTCTTTTTCTGGGAAACAGTGGAGCAGCACGGTGACAGGCAGTGCGGGCTGTGAGTGTGATGCTGCACTGTGCTCCTCTGGACAGTGGTTGGCCATTGTGCACTTGTCCTGCTCAGAAGCCCAAAGTTCAGTCTTTTTAGTAGCCTCTAACTGTGTTTATTTTATAAATTTTAATCCTTATGGCTGCCAATCTCATTTACTTTTAAGAGTAATCTTTGAAATTTAACCTTTTCAGAATACATTGTTCAAACAAGATAAAGATTGCCTTTCTTGATTTTTTTATTTTGTTTTTAAAAAATACAACTAGTTCTTTTATGTATCCTTGTAAAGCATCTTAATCAGACTTACTTTTAATTAATCAACATTGAAGTTTGAGGTCAGACTTTCTGTAATCTTTCTAAGTATGATTCACAAAGAAAAGCAAATGCGTTAGTATGTTTGCCTTAAACTTGTAGACTAAACCAACTATTGTAACATAACCAGCGACAACAGCGATAGTTTTAAACTCTGTAGTCATTTTATCACTCTAAATTTTGGAGTAGCTGTAATAAATCTACTCCATTGTTATGCTTTATAGTGCAGGTCTTAGTTTTTCTTAATTTCTTTTAAAATTGAATATTGAACCAAGTCCAACAACCCTTTACAGAAGAGTGAGGTGTTTCTCTGTGTGCAGTTCATGGAAGTGGAATTGGACAGAGGGAGAGGTCTGTTAAAATGAATAGCTCTTGTCTGTGAGGAAAAAAAGAATATTTGGGATGAAAGTTTGTATGCAAATGGAATGCTAATTGCCATTAGCTATACTACAAATATTATTGGCCTTTCTTAATGTGGATGAACATAACTGTCATTCCTTGTTGAAAGTGAAACTGAGTGAGTGCTTGGACTTTTTCCACTGTCTTTTTCTAGTTTTCCTCCTTTTTAGAAACCACAGGGATTTGGACTGATCACCCCTTGGATGGGTTTCTAGTTTGTTTACATTTTCTCACCCTGTTCTGAAGAAGGCCTGGTCTGTGCGATAGCCTGTCAGGACTATTCCAGCCTTTCTCAGCATGTGCTCTTGCTTCACTCATGTGCTGGTTAATGTCTCTAACTCACATGTTCCCAATGCCATTTGAACTGTTGGTTTTTCTGTTGTTGTCTGAGCGATTTGTGTGTTTTGTCCTTCATGTAACCTTCACTGGTCAGAATACACCCATGCAACATCCACTAGTGTGTAAACAGGACCAAGAGCCTAAGCTTTTGAATTCAGGTCCAGCCCTTCAGCAGCTGCCCTTGTAGCGTCTAGCAGGTTTGGGCAGATTCACTTGACTTCTGCCTCAGTTCTCTACTACAATGGACATGTTGACCTACCTCACAGGGGTGTTGTGAGGATTAATAAATGTTGGTACCATGAAAAAAAAATGAGAAAACCCCTGTTTTCTCTTGTTGTTGGTATAATTTGTGTAGAGGAAGGGAAAAAAACCAATTGTTTAAATAAGGATACAGGTGGACCCATTGCAACAATGAGATGTAGGGGGGGATGGGAAGGGATGAGAAGGGGTAACAAAGGAGGAGGCAACAATGCTTGATAAGAAATGTACTCATTACCTTGCTCATGTAATTGTAACCTCTCTGTATGGTATTTTCACAATAAAAAAAAAGAAATGAGAAAAATAGATGCTTTGAAGAAAAAAACTGAGTGGCTTGTACGGTAATGGAAGAAAAAATTCTCAATATATTTTTACAGGTTTCTGAGCTTTTTAAAGCAAGTGCATTTATCTATTATATGAGTGAATGTTCTTTCTAAAGACTGAATATATATGTATAATTTAATATTGAAGAATAATAAAAGAAAGAATGAAAGAAAAAGAGACAACAAAAAGAGAAAAAGAAGAGAAGGGAAAGACATAGATACAAAAAGATAAAGTTTTCCTCAGATTGTACTATGACTTTAAAATATCATTGCAGAAGAGAAAAATAGAGTCACATTTTAGAAGGCTTATAGAATTCCATCTTGTTTATAAATAACTTGTTGGCTTACAAAAAGCATATGCATAATTTAGTGTCTTAAAAATTATATATTTTCAATTTTTTTTTTTGGTCAGTCGTGGCTTGAACTCTGGGCTTGGGCGCTGTCCCTGTGCTCGATAGCTCAAGGCTAGCACTCTGGTTGTCTAGTGGTTTATTAGAGATAAGAGTCTCACGGAGTTTCATGCCCTGGCTGGCTTTGAACCTTGATCCTCAGATCTCAGCTTCCTGAGTAGCTAGGATTACAGGTGTGAGCCACCAGCACCTGGCTTATATTTTCAATTTTTAAATTGGAATAAAATACATTTAAATTGGAATAAAATACCAAAATGCCAAGTAGCGCTAGTGCCAAACAGTACATAGTTTTGAAAGCAAGGACTTCAAAGTTTACCTTTCATGCTGTTATTTCCCACCATGTTTTCAAAATATGGATAACCTTACCTTCATGCCCTACCATTCCATGTTATAATAATTTAGAAGATATACTAGAAGTATCAATGATTAAGAGAATGTATGTATAAGTAAATGGATGAGGATGAGTGATAATTGAAGAGACTATAAGAAGCAGAAATTAAAACTTGGGATATATTAGAATGTAATGTCAAATTTAAACTTAAATGTGTTTTTAATGGACGTGAGAAACCTTTCCAGAAGTCAATTAGATCATTAAAAGGAAAAAAAAATCCTTCAAATGAGCTAGGTATAATTCAAGTTTGTAATCCTAATTACTCTGGGGACTGAGATCTGAGAATCCTGGACAGGAAAAGATCCTGACTTCAAGGATTTGTTCAGTCTGGGCAGGAAAATCTGTGACACTCTTATCTCTAACTAACCAGGAAAAAAAAAGCCAGAAATGTAGGTATGGCTCAAGTGCTAGAGTGCCAGTCTTGAGTGCAAATCCAGATGAGAACATGAGGCCCTAGGTCAAAGCTTAAGTACTACCACAAAAATTGAAGTCATATCAAAATAGATTTACTGCCCCAATAATAAGTATGAATAGAAATTCCGGTTAATTTTTGGTTTAATTAATTTGTTTTTACTTTTTGCTCATTACCTCTAATCTAAGTTTCTATTCACAGTTAAGGTCCTCACAAGGTTTTACCAAATGTTTTATTGCTTTAGCTTGTTCATCTTTTGCCCACTCAGTTTTTGAGGTTATTGGTGTTTAATGCATTTACACACTGCTGTGGATTCAGAGCTGGGAGCAAAGTTCCTTTGGTATCCTAAAGATTTAATTGGGATCAGTCACTGTATTTGAAAACATCACTATATTTGAAAGCATGATGGCTCTTTCTTTTGAGCCTTTTGAAGATCAAAGTGTCACTGGCCTTCTTTCAAACTAAGTGCCTAAAGACCTCACTATCCATTAAAGGATTCCCACTCCATACACAGTGTTGTGTTCCTGAAGCATTCATATAAGGAATTGCTAAGACTTAGAGGGTTAGTCTTCTAAATAGCCACTCTACAGAAGAATGCTTTCCCTCTGGCTCTGCCAGCAAATTGGGGAAAAAATCCTCCTGTTACTTAGAGTTATCTAAAACCATAAGAAGAAAACCAATATTATCATGCCAGATAAAAGACCCTATAATTGTGATCCAAGCCTTTATTCTTATAAGATCATGCTCATCCTGTTTTGTACTGCATTTCTTTTTGCTATCCAAGTCATCTATCCATAAATATCACTTTTCTAAAGAGAAGTTCACATATCAAGCAATGTTGTTAACTATCCAACAGCAAAGGTGGATCTATTTTTTTTAATACTCAACAAAATAATAACCTAAAATACAGCTAGATAATATTTGGGGTTTGTTATGTAGTGGTACAAATTGGACACTTACTCTGTGTATACCATAGGGATTTTTCATATGTAATAAAGTATATCACACTGCTAATTAAGACACAGGTCAATAATTACAAGGAACAGTAACATATGTAGAAAATTAGAAGAAAGTAAAAAGAAATTCTGTCCTTGGCAGCTATGACATGACAGAGCTCATTTACTTTCCTATTTAACGTAGAGTGCCTTACCTTGACAAATTAAGCTGGGACTAGCAGACACTCTGTGACCAATGGGGTTGAAATGAGTGACATTCAATGACATCCTCTTTTATACTATGCACATTATAATAGACTCATTTATGGACTTGCACTGCCAGAAGGACATCAAAAAAGTTTTTAAATCATCAATTTCTTGAAAGGGAGCAGCTCAATTAATTATTAAAATAAGAACGCATAGCTTTGATTTGATTACACAGAGCTATTTCACACACTTCTCTGAACCAAAAGATGTTTGAACCATACAGGAACTATGTTGTATTGGCAAGCATTGTAATACTGAAAAAAGGTAAGTGTCCCATATATATTTCACCAACCTGAACCAAAGTTAGTGTTGCTCAGTATTTATATACATATGTTTGTTGTAGATTTTCAAGTTCAAAAACCAGTGGAAGAATTTCTCATTTATAGATATGTAGAAAAGAATATTTATCACTTCTTGGAGATTATTAAAGAAATATATAGGCTAATTTTATATTTCTTCCTAAAAGACATAGATTGCAGATAGCAAAATTCAAAAGTCAACTACTATATATTGTTTGAACTTTGTTCTCTTTTAAAAATTAATGTATATCAATAGCCCTAAATATTTGTTTCTTTTCTTCACTGATAGAGTTAGACAGAATGATAAATTTTATAATGATAGACATGCATTTTTTCCTAGGTAAAGAGCACCAAAGTGAAGCAAATATAAAATCTGTCATTGTACAATTCTTGCTTCTAAAGAGACATGATGCAAAAGACTTGCATTTCATGTATAAAGAATCTCTCTTTCTTTAGTTGTCATATTTTGGAATTCAAAGTTATATCAGAATATAATGAAATAAAACCTATTATTAGTGAGGAATGGAGTATGAAAGGGCTGAA